ACAATTTGATCCAATGAATCCGTCGAAAAGTTTGTGGTGTGACCTGCTTGGTGAAAAAGATAAATTGAAAAACAACGAGGGTAAATAGATACAAAAGCTCCTAAGTAAATAGGTCAATTAGGGTTACTACTTTTGTATAAACTATATATAAAAAAACTAAGATTTTAAAGTTTGATATATTGTCATAAAACTCTATCATAATGTTTTATTAACTAGGGTAGAATATCTTTTTTCATACCATAATTTATATTATGTATTATATATTAATGCCAACCAACCAACCCTATGAATAATCTAAACCCAAAATTAAAGCTAATATTGCTAAAAATGTATGATTATAGTTTTGGTCACGCGTGATGAAAAGTTCAAGAAAAGAAAAACAGTTGGCGTATGAAAATTATGATCATAATGTGTGTGTGTTTTATATTTATTTTATAAAATATTTATTTTTTGGGTTATCTCTTCACAGGTCAAATAGATAGGGTCCGCTTAATCCGTGTTAAAACTTAGGACCAGCATCGGCAGCTGTTGGAAACTTCGACTGGACCATGAAAATCACGGTGAGAATTTATTTAATCGATAGGGAGAGGGTGGTCCAGCTGCGGCCCCTGTGAGTTCTAAATCATGTTAAGCCGAACCGAACCATGGTCCAAAGTTATGTAGATGTGAAACTGTGATGATGGCTCGAGCCTTCCTCACCCCCTCTGTGGACCAGCTGAAAAGCTGAACGCCCCAAAAGTTACGAGAATGTAAACAGATTCCATGAGGATTTCACATGGACTGCCAAACCCACATATATATATATATATATATATATATCATTTTCCCCTTATTTTTCAAACAATATTTATTGATTCCTTTTTGTCTTCCATAATGATGCTTTGACAAATTTCATTCTACTTTCCTTGATAGTTTTATGTTGCAGCACATGACATCTATTAACGATTTCAAAACTTTATTTATATATTCGATGGTGGATCGTTTGTGAATATATATTTTTATTTAAATTTTTTTTAATCGAGTTAAGTTATATAATTCGAATCAAATCAAAATTATTTAGGGTAAGGAACACAAATGATTTCCGATTATAGTGTACTGTTTTATTAAGTCGTTTGGCTATTAATAGTTAAAAATTGTAATTCGATTATAGAGTGTTGTTTTGTGGAATCCGTCGACTATTGAAATTTATAAAATGGTCATCCGACTATTCATTATGTTCCAAACTAGTCATTTTCCGTTAAAAACTTAACGGTATTCTGAGTTGAACGTTAACCTGCTGACTGTGATATGATAAAATATGATCTCAAAATCTCAAACGACTATCATATCTCAGCCATCATGTTAAAGTCCAGCTTAGACAACCGCCCTTTAACAGAAAAGGATGAGTTTGAAATATAATAAATTGTTGGGTGATCATTTTGTAACTTTTAATAGTCGAGTAACTTAACAAAGTAACGTTTTATTGTCAAGTAATTTTAAATAATCCAAGGGCTTAATAAAGTAGTACCATATAGCCAGGAGATCATTTGTGTACTTTATCCAATTTTTTATAATATTATGATACTAATTGATTCCAATTTAAGCGTATTTCTCTCGATGAAATTTTTAAACGTCTCTTTAGTCCTATGTAATATACTTATATTTTTTTCATATTCTTTTTTATGAGTTGATAAGATTTATTATGTTATTTAATATATTTATATTAAAGAAATTTCAAGGATAAAGTATTAAGGAAAGAATAGAGAAGTCCATGAATGATGGGTAGAAATTTTTATAAATTATCGTAGTCAAACAATCAAAATTTAAAATTGAAAAAATTAAATTATATAAATAAAATTTTATTGTTAAAAAAATTAAAGTTATGCATACATTCTACAATAAAGAGTTAAAAAAACATGTAATTCATATTCGATTAAATTATTTAGTTACATACTAAAACCACCTCATTTTATTGTTTGTAAAATGAGATTACAGAACATCCGGGGTAGAGTTACAATATTATGGGTGTCTTTGTAGGAACTCAGGGATAAGGATAGGTCGGGTTGGGTCGACTTTCCAGTCCATTCGATTTTTTTTTAAATTGACCCAATAGGGATGGATCGGATCGAAACCGTCGGTTCGGGTCCCATGCCCATCCATAGGAACTTGTTATAAAAAGCTCGCAAGGCGTGGATCCGAGCGGAGCGGAAGACCAGCTCGGGCGCCTAAAGCTCCACGGCCAGCTGCAGCCTGCAATGAGCATCAAAATTTTGTTAGGCAAACTTGTCACACAAAGCTAAAATTGTTAACGATGAGTGAATCCATTTACCACTTGAGCCGCAAAACGGCAACATCTTCTCTGCTGGCACAGAGAGCTAAAACACAAAAATGGAACAGTCAACATCGACTTCATAATGGCCGAATCAACCATAAAGTAAATAACTAGAGCATTCAAATGTCATTGTATTTGCAGGTTCAAAAAGTCAATTAACTACAACCTAGTTTACGAATCACATATAGTTGACAAAACCGTGTGGTTCAATCCGTATGAAACTGAAATGCTTATGTACCATATAGTACTGCTCCGATAAATGCATCCCCTGCACACGTTGTGTCGACAATTTCGGATGGTGGTATCTTCTCGGCTGTTCCCACAAATAACCTGCCAGTTACCGTCCCCATCCCATTTGAAGTCATTTGGTTTCGACCTACAGAAAGCAAAAATCTCAAATTAATAGAAAAATGCTCACTGTTCTTCAGAATCTTTCCTCTAGGAATTTAGCAACCTTGGTGAGACCTGTCCACAGACTAAACAGAAGTCCTAACGCCTGCACATAAGTTATAAAGTTCTATGCTTTGTATATTACCGATGAAATGCATGTTGGGATGCTCGTGCCATCGTCTTTCTCTGATTTAATGATTCCAATAAACTGTGAGCATCCATTTCTTCAGCATCAGAATCACCTACAGACATAGTAGGGAAAACCCGTGAAGAATTGTATTTTTTCTTCCGCTCCGATCATGTTTCGTAGTTCGGGTTCAAGCTGTATTCTCAACAACACGATTCATACAACTACACTCACCGTTTCCTTCTTTCTAGCATTATGCATCCATCTTCACCCAATGTCACAATAACCATTTTTTTTTTTGATAAAAAGGAAGGCCTCCTTAAGAACCTCATTCATAACCGTCAAGCAACAAAGACTCAACGGACATTAGAAGGAGGAAAAGAGTGCCTTAGAAATTTTATTGCATAAGAACCAAGTACAATACGATCACACTACCACCAAAAAACGATGGTATCCCACTCAACGCAGTGCAAAACAACACTACCTACATGTATATGTTTATACCCTACACAAAAACTACCTCCTAGGTTACTCAACCAAATACAAACAAATATCATTCCCAAATGTTCCCGATATGAGTGATAGAAAACAACAACCCAAATAATTCCCCATCATTTAACCTATCCCTTGTTTGATAAATTCATCCGCTTCACAATTAGCTACTCTCACCACATGACGAACAATGACAAATCTTAATTTTGGCAACCTCATAAGCATGGAAATAAGCGCGGTCAGAACAGACGGAGCTTCTGTCCATGCCTGTCTCATTGGAAGTTCATGACCCGTGCCAATAGATAAATGAGTAACTTAAACAAACTCCACCCACAATGGCTAAAGGAAGCATGTAGGGATGCAGTATCAACTTACCTGTGGAAATTTTGCAGAGCATACAGCATAAGTAGCAAAATCTAGAAGGTCATCTAAACCTTCCCTTTTCCTTTCGGCCTCGACTAATATCGGTATATTCTTGGAAGATCATCTAGAAGATCAATTATGCGGGTAGATGCTCAAATCAAACAAGGTTATAGTTGGGCGGCTTGGAATAAAATGTTAAGGTTTCAAGGTTTAGACTTTGTTTAATATAAAGTATGAAGATGAGAAAATATAAAAGGTTGGGGAAGCATGGGATTTAATGTCTGAAGCAATCTCCTTAAATAATTTATTTTATTTATATAATAAAAAAAATAAAAATATTTAAGATAAAAAGGTAAAATTTGATTTAAAAGTACTAAAATTTTATATTAAACAAGGTTAGTGGATTGAATTTGCGGTATGAATGAATTAAATTGGATCAAATTCATTCCATAATAGACTTTTGCATTATTTGATATGGATTAATAGATCTCGAATACAACGACCAAACAAATATATATATTGTGTGTTAATCTGGATTAGTATCTAAATTTTATTTTTTATTAGTATCAATCCTTAAATTTTTTATTTTTTATTTAATCTTTGAACTTTATTTTAATCCACATTAACCCCTAGACTTCGCAACTTTTTCTATTTTAGTTTGATGATTTGTCCCTATGATATTCGCCATCTCATAAAAAGGACTACAAATAGCCAAAAATCCAAGTTCAAAGACCAATATAGGATGACAAATTTAGGGACCAAGTTAAAAAATGTCAAATTTAAGGATTAAAAATTAGTTTATCCCTATGGATAAAATAAAATATCGGGGATTGACCGGTCAAAGGATACATTTAAAGCTTATTTAAGAACTAAAAGTAATTTTTGAATGGGACGTGCATTTGACTATTGTTTCGTTTCCTTAAAATATCTTTAGCAAGTTACAACCCTCTGTAATCGGCAAATTTGCTACACAGGTCCTTACAATATAACATAATGTATTTTAATTTGTATAGTTTAAAATAAAATAAAAGTTATTTCGTAGAAGAAACAGTAAAATGATTATTTTTTTGTAATAATTTAAAATATAAGAACCAAAATACACTTCGTGATATGATACGGGGACATGTAGAGTAATTTTTCCCTTTCTAACCCCTTCTTCCTAAATCATCCATTGCACATGTATCAACTGTGTTTTTTTTCTCCCCTTCATCTCTAAATTATAACCTTAAGAAAAGTTCATGGAAAAAAAAGGGAAATTATAGCCAGAAAGAAGAAGGAAAACAATATGTACTAGTAATTAACGTAAATGAATATGAAAGAATGAGTGGAAATAAGAGATCAGTGACGAGCGAAGACAAAAGGTTGATTTACTGAGAGGATGAAGAAGAAGGAGGAGGTGGAGGTGGCGAAGAAGACTCGAATTTGTAGTGTTTATCAACGGCAACGGAGACATCCCATGTGCAACTGAGACCTTTGGGGATAACAACAAGATCTCCGGCACCGAACTCCACAAACTCCGATGAACCTTTGGGGTATGCCTTCACTTTCCCTTTCAGCAAAAAACAAGTCTCCTCTGCATCGAACTTCAACTGGTACTTCCCAGGTGAGCAACCCCATCTGTGAAATCATAACACATTCAAATATCAATCAAGAATAAGAAGAAGAAGAGAGAGAGAGAGAGAGAGAGAGAGAGAGAGAGAGAGAGAGAGAGAGAGAGAGAGAGAGCCTGAAGGATTTAAGCTTACTTGGGCCAACACTTGATGTTAAGCTCTGAGAGCTTAGACTCCGAAGGATTTTTTTCCACAACAATTCTCAGGTTATTTCCAGCCATGGAAAACAAATTTACTCTTAATTTTTTTTTACTATGAATGAAATTAGAGACGTGTTCTAGATTTAAGCTTTGAGATGATCCATGGGGGCATACATAGGGAAACAGGCAAAGGAAAACAGAGAGTTTTTGGTTTAGGGCAAGTAGAGAAGAAAAAAATATTGGTTTCAAGGGGAAGAAAATGGAAAAAGGCAGTGGCAGGAGATTAGGGTAAATTACAAATTTCATCACTAAATTTTATTTTATCTTTTATTTTGTTCACTAAACTTTAAAAATTTCAACTTTACACTAAACTTAATTGTTTGGGTTTTTTATCATTGAACTTTATTATCTTCATATTTTGATAACTCCGACCTTAAGAATGATGTGGTTTTTAAAAAATAAAATTTTCACCAAAATAATATTGTTTTGTATCTATATATAATTGTCCATTTTAATATCATTTTAAAAAATTTCACGTTGTAAATGACAACTTGAAACGTGGCATCAGACAATTCGATGGAAAAATCACTGTTTGACCAGAGGGTATCATATTCTTGAAGATACAGACACAGCTTTGACTGCATTCTCCTCGGTTTTTATTAGCTAAAATAGAAAGACTATGCTTAATTAATTTTTTAATTTAAGAAAATTAATATATTTAATGAAAAACTCATACGATATTGAATGATTGCTGCATAAGAAATTGTTTTATTGTTAATATTTAAGTTATTAATTTTATAAATTTTAATTAAAAAACAATGTGTTAATTTAAAATTTTAAAAATAATCTTTGATCAGTCACAACTTTATTTTATTTGACGTTGGATCCATCTCTGACGTGTTCTATTTGTTATCCTCTTCAACCGACTGCCGATGTCGCATGTGCAATACCACCGCCACATGCTCATATTATTCTAACAAAACTGCCCGTCGATGTATCCTCTTTTGACATGTATATTATAACTGTGTGATTTTTATTTATAAGAAAAATTATACACTGCATATATATAACGTAACCCACTATTAAAACGATGTACCGAAATATATTATTATTGCTCCTAATATGTATTAAAATTGGGTCTCTTATATAAGAAACAAAACAATCAACCATTAAGATAAACGAGTTATTTAGTTAAACCTCATCACATTTGTATTTAACTTATATAATAATATCACCACAAAATCAATATTTTTTCGATGATTATAATATTCAAATATGTGATACTTTAAATTAATTACTGAAATCTTAGTCACTCAACTTAATACTTACTACTTAAATAACGTGTCACCATCTATGGGGATAAAAAGTTAGAAATCATTCTTGCTTAGAGATCATTCTGGCTCCTAATATGTATTAAACTTGGGTCTCTCACATGAGAAACAAATCACTCAACCATTAAGATAAGGTAATCAACTAATCATTTAGTTAAATTTCATCACATTTGTATTTAACTTGTATAACAGTATCACCACAAAATCAATAATTTTTCGATGATTATAAGAATCAAATATATAACACTTTAAATTAATCACTGAAAGGTTAGTAAAATTAAAAAATAATTTTAATTTTCACTTTATTTCAAAATAAAAAATAATTTATATATTTTCACTTTATTTCAAAATAAAAAATAATTTATATATTTTTATACAAATTATATGAAATAATTATAAAAAATATATTTATAATATTATAAAAATATTTATTTAATTTTAAAATAAAATTAATTATTAACTTGAAATAATATTATTTTTAAACTATCTATTTAATTTATATAATTTTAAATTTAGGGTAAATTATACGTTTAATATCCAACTATCACTTTGATTCTGTACAATATTATTTAAAATTAAATAGATAATTTTAAAAATTATATTATTTGAAATAATTAATTAATATTATTTCAAATAAATAAATAATATGATTTTAAAAATTAAATAAATATTTAAAAATAATTTCATAATATTATAAATATACTTATTATAATAATTTAATATAAATTTTATAAATATATAAACAATTATTTAATTATTTTTTATTTTCAAATAAAATGAAGAACTATTATTTAATTTAATAATGATGTAAGTATTAAGTCATGTATAATAAAAATAGATTTGTATTATAGTTGAATGACTTAGCTTTCGATCATTAATTTAAAGTGTCACTTATTTAAATTTTATTACTATAAAAAACTATTGATTTTGTGACGATACTATTATATAAGTTAAATACACAATGTGGTGAAATTAACTTAAATTACTAGTTTAACTCAATAGTTGAGTGCTACGCATTTCATATAAGAGGCCTAAGTTCAATTCATGACGGAGAAATAGAAAGGTGATATGGAAATTAAAAAAAATAAAAAATTGACATGTCATGCCACATTAGCATTGTCGTTAATGGTTTTGAGAAAAAAAATAAAGTTTACATACTAAAACGAAATAAAATGATAGTGTAGGTACTAAAAGTATAATTTATCTTTTAATATTTACTTAACAAGGGCAATTTAATTAGTAGTGTGTTGCGCTATGCGACGTGTGTTGTAGACTCATCCTATTTATAATATATAATGTAGGAAAATTCTATGGCGCACGTCGTATACCATAATATACCACTTAGGCATGTAAATGAATCGAACGAACACGAACGATATATGTCCATGTTCGTTCGTTTAACTTTAACCGAACAAATGAACGAACTCAAAATTTCTTGTGTGTATTCGTTCATTAAGGAATGTAGTTTGTTCGTTCATTTAAATGATAAACGAATACAAATGAGAGAACATAAACGAACGAATGTAAACAAACATAAATGAACGTAAACAAACCTGCACAAACATAACAAATGAACATAATTGAACATAATAAATGGACTTAAATAAAAATAATAACGGCATAAAATTTATTATTCATTAATATAACCTACAACTTTAAAGTTAAAATTATTTAGATTTTAAATGGGTATGGTTTATATTTAGTGCCCATCAAACTGGGTAAGGATGGGCCTCATATTTTACACTTATTTTTTTGCCGATGACCTTTTCTTATTTGGAAGGCTAATGAAAAGCAAGCCAGTATTTTCAAAGAGGTCTTGGACCGCTTTTGCCTTGCTTCGGGTGCCAAGGTGAATTACGAGAAGTCGAGTATCTCATTTCTCTGAAAGCGAGCTCGAACGTTGGACGGAGAGTTGGCTAAATTCTGAATATGAGTGCTACCTCGGACTTAAGGAATTATCTTGGAGTGCCTCTAATACACGGTCGTATTGCTAAGGGAACCTATCGTGAAATTGTGGATAACTCATCTGAGGTTTAACGGGTGGAAGGTCAAACACTTAACTATCACAGGGAGAGTCACGCTTCTGAAGTCAATAACTTCTGCATTACCAACGTATACGATGATGACCTCAAGACTTCATGTGGTGTGCAAAAAATCCGATATCCGATCCAAAAATTCAGATATTTGATTTTTTTTTAATTTTCGGATAATTTAAATCGGATAATCGGATCAGATACGGATCGCATAAAATCTATTTTCGGATTATCCAAAATCCCCAAAAATTGGGCCTTTAAATTTATATATATTTAGCTCAATAAATAAATCACTAACTCATTAAAGCTTTAACTCAATAAAAATTAGAGTATTTAATTATTTATTGTGTGTAGTAATTATATATATATATATAATATATATAGAAGTATCGAATATATAACATTAAAACACAAAATTTTAAAATTTTAAATTATTTTTTGTCAAATTAAATTTTATATTAGGATTCAGATATCTAGATATTCTGATCCGAAAAATCGGATATCCGACATATTCAATCTTTTCGAATAACATACAAATCACTATTTTAGGTGTCCGAAATTTTCGGATCGAATCAGATCCAATATCCAATTTTACACACCCCTACCTGTCAACATTTACAAGGATCTTGATAAAGCGAATCACAGATTTCTGTGGGGTGGTAATGATGAAAAGCGAACCCCGCACTTGGTGTCTTGGGATATTGTCTGTAGACCGTCGGGCGACAGTGGCTTTGGTAACCGTCAGATGAGATCTCATAGTTATGTTCTCCTTCAAAAAACTACTTGGAGATTATGCACCAACCGGATTGTTTGTGGGTTAAAGCGCTTAAAACCATTTACGGTGTAGATGGTGACCCTATATCTTATGCGCTCAATCAAAACGGTAATCTGACTTCCTGGTCGCATACTTGGGAGAGCTTGATCTATAGTTTCAAAGGTTTAGCCGGTGAGATGATGAAGCGCATTGGCAATGGCGAGGAAACGCTGTTCTGGAGGGCTAACTGGTTGGGGCGGTCTCTCGTTCATTTCCCAGATGTCTAAACATCCCTTGTGAATGATTCTGTGAAAGTATCTGAGTTCATTCTTGTTGATGGTAAATGGGATTTAGAGCGTGTGTTCGCTCAACTTCCCATGGAGGTGGCTAACGGAGCCATGGGCTATCCCCTACCTAGGTTTTCATACATGTAAGACCCCTATATCTGGAGCTATTCTCCCAATGGAGAGTTTAGCACGTGGGCAGCTTATCTAGCACTCCTCGCAACTGAGCATGGTGAGGTTGGTACGTCTTTCTCATGGATTTGGAAACTGCATATTCCTAAAAAATGGCAATTCTTTGTGTGGCTCGTCTGGAGAAACGTCTCCTCACAAACTCACGAAGAGCTTCTTGGAACCAAGCTACTTCTCCTGAGCGCCTAACGTGTGGCTGTGCTGTGGAGGTTTTGAATCACTTTTTGAGGGATTGTTCCATGGCTCGAAAGATCTAGAACCGCTGTTTTCGACATTCACCCCCGCACGGTTTCTTCTCGCAAAATATGGAAATATGGTTGGCCGAGAATCTAAACGCTGCTAAGTGCTTAGATGAGTTCATCACTGGTTTCGCGGCTATTATATGGAAACTCTGGACTTCTCGATGTAGAAGGATTTTTGAACCCAATGGAAACCTCCATGATGATCTCGGTCTCTGGCAAAGCATTGTGACTGCGGCGAAGGATGTGCTGCTGGTGTATAGGAA